TATCTCGCTTTTTATTTAACTTCTTTTGGACTGAAGCACTGCAACACCCGCTGACTGCAATGATAAGAGCTTGGAATAGCCAGGACAATTTTTAATATAACTCCGACTGGATTCGTCTGAAAGAAGAAAGTCATATACACCTAGGATGCCTCTGGAGTGAGTAAAACACAGCATCATTTTCATTTTTGGGTGAACTAACTCTTTAAGCTAATAATGATCTTTAGATATGTTGTGTCACGTTTTGTCTCTGTTTGCTTGTGCAGTTTAAGTCAAGCCCACGGTGTTTCATGAATGATCTTCAACTTAGAATATCATAATTATGATTTTGTTTTCAGAATTTTGACTTCATGACAGCATACTATGACTATTTCAAAGGTATGACTGTCATAATTAATACTTTTCATTGTATAAATGACCATTTATGACAACACATTGTTATAATTTTGACTTTTATGTAATGATTATGACATTTTTATGTCATGATGAATACCAAAGCATGATTTTTTTTTCTTACGTGTCGGAAATGGGCTTCCATAGTTTGGTAATATACATCACACAGTGATCATAATAACAGGCACATTCTATTCATAGTCACAACGCTCCATCAAAGCAGAACCCTTTGTGCAGTTTAAGTCAAGCCCACGGTGTGTAAAGTGTCTGCTAATATGCCGCACATTAAGTGTAGAGTTAAGCAATAAGTCTGCTCCCATATCCGTAAATGGTTTTTATAAATCATTTGCTTGTACAGAATGCAGGGTAAAGCGGTATGTATATGAATTCTACTCACATACCCTGTACATATAGATAAGCATATTGAATCAGCTGTTACCATTATTTTTCAGAAAACATTCAATTGTTTTGTACATCAGTAAATATTAAATTTCAACTTTAAAGCTTTCGGTTTTATGCAACTCATTTTTTGTGGTAAATACTGTGTTGTATAGTTATGCTGGAATTTTTTTTTTTTTCTAAACCTTTTAAGTATTCTTGTCTTGTTTTCCGGTAAAATATAGAAACACCCTCAAATAAAATGTACCCATAAAGTAAATGAGAATTAAATGATTTCATATATATATATATATATATATATATATATATACACACACACACACAGTACTCACATCTTATTTCATTTTTCTTACATAAATGTTAGGGATGATATTTTTACTGGAAAACCTGACAAAATTACTCAAGAAAATGTGTTTTTGCAGAAGACGCAGTGAAACATATGAATATACACATAACTTTAATGCAATCATAATTCTCACATTTGACCTCAAGACATTTTCTGTACAAACAATAAGACTTGGCACTGGGCAGCTTTGATTGGATAATACAGTGTCTGAGGGAGAAGCAAAGTGTAAGAATACCTATAGATACAGGCACGAGAGGGCAGAAGTGGAATGGTGATGATACGCGGGGCAACTTTTTTGAGGGATGTTACTTGGGCACTTTCCCATTGAGAATGGGTAACAAATGTCTATCTGGATACTTTAGATCGGTCGTGGGTAGAGATGCACCGATCGATCGGCTAGGGATCGGAATTGGCCGATTTTCCTCATGATCGGCCCGGATTCCGATTCCGAGCCGATCCGTTTAGTTACCAGCAGCACAGGCAATAACATCAGCCGCACATTCTCACTCTCATCTCTCCGACGACCCTTTCTCACTCACACACGTCTCATTAGCTCCGGTTAAATAGTGCTTGTATTGCACATTATAGTCATTCCCGCAGGTTTAGTGCTTATACCAAACGCGCGCGTGCCACCACTGATCTATATTAGTGGAGCGCACAAGCCACGCTCAGTCTCAAACAGCTTGTGAGCCACAAATACCAAAATGAGTGGCTAACTGCGCTAAAACGTTCAAATACATACAAAATTTTGTCAAAATGCCCGTCTTGGCGAGTATCCAGTTAAACACAGTCAGTTTTGGAACGTTAAATAGTTGAGAAAGAGAAGCATGTTGTGTAACAGTATATTGGGTGCGTGGATAAACTCTTAAAGAGACCGCAGTCCAATATCCCTGTCTGTCATGTTAATCAAAGAACAAAAGACAAAGAAAATCATTTTCTGCTCTTGACTGAATACGTTTTATAACTTTAATGGTAAGTAGGGATGGGCGATATCTTATCATTTGCGATATACCGGTAAAAATTCTCCACACGATAACAATTTGTCTTCCCGCGATAATAACGATAAAGTCTAGTTGTTGACATATTTCTGTGTGCGACTGTGTGGAGTGACGTGAAGGAAGGCGGACGTGAAATTGAGCAGCTCCTTCTACAATCTGGAACAGGTTTGGATAGGGCTGTACAGTGCGACAAAAATCGGTCTGAGCCTTGAGTAAATGTACTACAGTAGCACATGTGCGACACAGTTTTACATGTGTATGAGTCGTTTACAAAACTGTTTTCCAACAAAGATATTTTAATTTATTGACATGCTTTTTCTCCATATTAACTTCATAACAGTCGAGTGTTTGAAATAACTTATTTTTGTGAAACCAGACGTGGTTTCGTATCACAGAATAAGGCAGAAATCATACTATTTTATAGCATTATATACAGTGATAAAGGCTATGTCGATTAGCATTGCATTATAAATATACTCTATCCTTATAAAAAATACCCAAGATTGATTGAAAACCATATATTTTGTGCAATCGCATGTTTATTGTCTTCAGGTTTCCTCAGTTAAAATTTCTCTATTTGCGTTTTATTCAGCAACAGCGATCACTGGATACCTGTCCATTTTAGGGATTTCCTGGAGCATTACTTCTACTATGCATATGTGGAGTTTCTGCGCAAGGGCGCCCTCCAGCTTCCAGTATGAATTAAACAGTCATTACATTACTTAAGACAAGCAGAAAACACAACAGAAAGAGCAGATGATAAAGAGCGGAAAAGATGAATGAGAAAACAAAATCGCTGATGTTCCACAAAATGTCACTGCATTACATACAAAAAAAAAATCCAATCGAGTGAAATCTGAAAACACGATACAAGAGGTTTTCACTGAACTTATTCCGCTTTTGAGAGCACCTTTTCAACAGTTTTTTAACAAACTGGTTTTGAGGTCATTTTTTCAGTTTAGTTCAAGTTTGACAACCAGAAAGTGTCAAATAAATTTTTTTCAGTCTTCATTTTAAACAATATATTTCTAGTTCCATACTCTGAAATCTAAAACTGTTTATGTATGAAATTTGTATTTGTGCATTATATCTTTCAAAATTTGGGGGTCGTTAAGATTTTTTTTAAAGGTTTTTAAAAGATGACTATAAAGATAACTATAAAGATAACGATATTAGCGTCCACACCAGCGAACGATATCGTCTGTTTATTCTAAGCGCGTGTCTGCCGCTTTAAATTCTTGAGCTCGTTACAGCAGGATGGATTCTGATTGGCTGTTAGTGTTTTATCGTTCATCAGCTGGAAAAAAAATCGTTTTGAAAGTGATCACAACCATATCGTTCCTCTGTATCATTATCGTTATAGTTGTAGTGTGGACTCTGCTATTCTTTAATATTGAGAGCGATTTTTAGAACTATATCTTTATCGTTATCGTGCTTGGTGTGAACGGGCCTTTATGCTTGCCAAGGCTGCATTTATTTGATCTAAAATACAGTAAAAACTGTAATACTGTGAAATAGTATTACAATGTAAAACTAACTTTCTATTTTAATATATATTACTATGTCGTATTTTCCAGTGATGGCAATGCTGAATTTTCAGCACCCATAACTCCAGTCTTCAGTGTCACGTGATCCTTCTATTATTCTGATTTGGTGCTCAAGGAACATTAATTATTATTATCATATTATGCTACTATTATGTTGTGCTGCCTAATATTTTTGCAGAAACTGAGATACATTTTTTTCAGAATTATACAATGAATAGAAAGTTCAAAAGAGCAGCTTTTATTTCAAATTAAAATCTTTTGCAACATTATAAATGTATGTACTGTCACTTTTGATCAATTTAAAGCATCCATACCGAATAAAAGTATTAATTTCTGTCTTTCAAAAAAAGGTTTTTGAACATTAATGTATGCTACTTGTCACACAAATTCATTCATATATTTTTATTTGTGGCTTAAATGTTCAAATACTTTCTAGGGCAACCATATATTGACGTGTGCACTCGCGCTCACCTGAGCTCAGAGTTGTTGTGATTGACTCGTCATTTAGAGGAGGATCCTCTTCATAAGACTCTTCGTCCATCTCCTCCTCATCTACAGAGGTCCAGGCACGGAGCTTCGCCTCTGCAATGGCAAACTGCTCAGCCACACCTAAAAAAACAAGAATCGTATCGAATGACCCTGGAGTTTACACAATGATGCCAATTAAACAGATGGCACTGCAACATAATCTCTTTTGACATTTTCGAGTTTACTCGTGATGCTTTTGTTCTGATTGAAAAAGCTCTGCTGCTGAGAGACTCAGGTTTTGCTGTTAAATGCCACCCTAACTCAGCAGCCATGTTTACTGCAGCCAGGAAACTGATGACAGCCAAACATGTAGCAGAGTATAAAAGCTGCCGGGAAAAGTAAAGTCAAAGGAGGAGAGCTAGAAGACAGGAATGAAGTAAACTGACATGCAGGATCAGCAGGTGTTGCTGTGTGACTGTGTAATCTAATTTAACACCATCTGCTGAGTCTAAAACCCTTCAGATGGCGCATTATGGAAGGGCTAAAGTAAAGCTATATTAATGTTAATTATATTCATTATAATGTTATATATTTATTATCATAACATGAAATATATTAGACAGGCAGAAAGACAGACAGAACACAGATAGATAGACAGACAGACAGACACAGATAGATATATAGACAGACAGACAGACAGACAGAACACAGATAGATAGACAGACAGACAGACACAGATAGATAGACAGACAGAACATATATAGATAGATAGACAGACAGAACACAGATAGATCGATAGATAGATAGACACAGACAGACAGACAGACAGAACACAGATAGATAGACAGACAGACAGACAGACACAGATAGATAGATATATAGACAGACAGACAGACAGAACACAGATAGATAGACAGACAGACAGACACAGATAGATAGACAGACAGAACACAGATAGATAGATAGATAGACAGACAGACAGACAGACAGACACAAGATAGATAGATAGACAGACAGACACAGATAGATAGCTAGATAGCTAGATAGATAGATAGATAGATAGATAGACAGACAGACAGACACAAGATAGATAGATAGTCAGACAGAATACAGATAGATAGACAGACAGAACATATATAGATAGATAGATAGATAGACAGACAGACAGACACAAGATAGATAGATAGACAGACAGACACAGATAGATAGCTAGATAGATAGATAGATAGATAGATAGATAGATAGATAGATAGATAGATAGATAGATAGATAGATAGATAGATAGATAGATAGATAGATAGATAGATAGAAATGTTTATCTTTTTGTAAATGTGTACTAAGCTTTGGCAATATTGTATAATTTACAATCATGCCAATAAGCCAATAAAGAATTTGAATTTAGATAGATAGATAGATAGATAGATAGATAGATAGATAGATAGATAGATAGATAGATAATTACTACATAGCTTACAGTGATTAATAATAATTACATAATTAATATGAGGTAAAAAAAAATGCATATATGTATAGGAATGTATAATATTATTACATTTGAATCATTAGTACTATTAATGCAGTTGATTATTACTATTAGTAATAATAACAACTTGAAAACCGTAAAAGAAATGAAGACCAGAAATATACAGATTACCTTAAACATTCATGCACAATTTTACATTTTAATGTTCAAAAATAAATTTAATGTCCACATTATTTGACAACGGTGCATGTATAAACACCCAGACATCAATATCCTTGTGCATCTACAGTTATCTCCTTAACACACTCCATCAGCAGTGAGAGATTTACAGCTGTACTAACAGGGTGCAAGCAGACACCCACCTGCTGCAAACCGGGCCTCCTGCTCGCCCTCGCTGAGATGGGAGTAGGAGTTAAAGTGGGACTGCAGTGTAGCAGACGGAGGGTCTAAGGGCTTAGACCAGCCCTTCCACTCAATCAGATGAGCCACCCGACCCTGAGCCATGGCCGTGGGTTTGGTCACGTGATCTTTCACCACCTGTGAGATGCCTGGTAGGGAAAACACAGGGATTGTTAAAGACTGATTAACATGCATAAATGCTTATGATGATGCAACAGGTGTTTAAATACTTACCATTAAATGATGATCTGGCCAGAGCTGCAATTTCCTGGATGCTAAGGGCTTTTCTTGACTTGGGGAGCATATCAATAGGGTCATCAACCTGAGGAAGCAAGTTCAAAGACAAAATGTTCTCTTTTTGCACTGTGTAGATATTTCAATATACCTTCATAGGAAGAAGCTGTTTAAAATAATTGAGTCATGTTTTTTATCAAACACTTATGCACAAATGATGAAACTCTGCATACGCAAGTTTAAACATATGATAAACATATGGATGGATTACTTACAATTTGTAGTCTGTTATTGATTACAAAATACATCATCAAATTTTTAGTCAGTAATGTAATATTAACTTTAAATCTCAGGGGGACTTCAAGTAAATATTTTAGGTCAAATCATGGGTTTGACAAACAAAAAAGTTTGGGAATCCCTGCATAACATGAACAAACATGAATAAACATGAAAACGGCAACTGCAATGACACGGTCAACATTTTTCCAGGTTGAAATATTTTTTGTCAGTTATATACTGGCAGGAACTTTCATAATTATTCATCTCATATTTGACTAGTCCCCAAAATGAGCATCATGGATCGCAAATTACGTCACATTACATTTGCAAGGCCAATCTATATTGAGAATATGCAAAAGCTAAACAATATGACAAAGTCGAATTTTTTAGAAAGTACAATTTAAAAGAGAAAAAAGAAGAATTAGGAAGAATCAATAAATTAGGAATAATTTACCGCCATTGTGTGAATAATACGTAACCATGTAGTCCATAGTAACTGTAATCTGATTATGAGCATTTTAAATATATAATCTAATAACAAGTACTACATTTTTGGAATCTGACTACATAATCCAGATTACATACCCAGTTACTACCCAGCACTTTGCGTGTGTGTTTATGTGTGTGCATGTTTATGTGGTTTATGAGGACACAAATTTGTATAATAACATGGGTATGACATAGGTATTACAACGAGAAGGTGATTTATGAGGACATTTTCAGTGTCCCCGTAATTCAAAAGGCTTATAAATAATTCAGAATGAGTTTTTTTGAAAATC